CATGCTTTTCTGGTTATTACCCGTCCCCTTGTGTGTTATGTAGCTTTTTATGCATGTAAACGGTCTGGAGAGTCAAAAACTCACAAAGTACACCCTGTAGCGAGTAAAACTCTAACACAGAAAATACCTGTCTATGCCCAGAACGCCTCGTTGGAGATTTTAATTTTTCAATTTTTTTCTTGCTGAGTATGGTGACGTAACGGGCATAGTGACGTAACAGCTCCTCACACACACACTCACTCAGCCTTATCTTTTCTCAGCCGCGGTGTTACGCGGATCTTCGCACACTGTGTTTGTGCTCAGGCTGAGATCCGCGGTGTCTCGCTGTCTCGCAGACCCCACGCAGCAACCAGGAAACAACACCAGTAATACAGCTCACACTGTCTGCTCCTCGAGCCTCAAAGGGCGGAGCAGCGAGCCCCGCAACGTCCCGCCAACACGGCACCCAGACCCCACGCAGCATTCTCATCTGTTTGTCATTACTGGTGTCATTTTCTGGTTGCTAACGCCATTGTAACACATAATCACTGATGTTCCGCTGTAACGGTGGTGGACTCATCAGAACAGAGTGGGCGAGCTGACCAATCAGAGCACAGTGGGCTCACAGGGAGGGGGGGGCATTATTTTAACTATTGTATCTGTTATATTGTGTTGCACTGTTGGAGGAGCCTGTGACCTAAGATTTTCATTGACATATCTACACTGTAGCTATGTACAAATGACAATAAAAGCCTTGAAACCTATATACATATATGACTCATATACACAATCAACAGGCACATGTGTATATGTGTTTCCACATTAAAGTGATATGTATTATTATTGAGTGTTATATGCATTAACTTTTGTACATTTGTTTATTTTCATTTCACTAACGGGGTTGAGAAATACAGTTAGTACAACTAGTCCAGGCAGTTATAGACCTATAGCTCTGACATCGCACTTGTGTAAAGTTATGGAAAGAATGATAACAGAAAGGCTGACATACTACGTTGAGAAAAATGAACTAATGACTCCTTATCAGAGTGGGTTTAGAAGAGGGCGGAGTACTTTAGATCCACTGCTGTGCCTGGAATCTGAAGTTAGGAAAGCCCAAGCGAATAAGGAGTGTGTTGTAGCTGTTTTCTTTGATGTGGGAAAAGCTTACGATATGATGTGGAAGGAAGGATTATTAATTAAACTGGACATTATGGGTCTGGGAGGTAATGTATATAATTGGATTATGGATTTTTTGTTTGGCCGTGCCATCAGAGTCCGAGTTGGCAATTCTTATTCTCGAAGGCATGAAGTTGAAAATGGAACCCCACAGGGGAGTGTAATTAGTCCTCTTTTGTTTTCTATCATGATAAATGATATATATACACAAGTAGGATCTGATATCGGTAAGTCACTTTTTGCAGATGATGGAGCTATTTGGAAAAGGGGCAGAAATGTAAATTATATTGTAGGTAAGATTCAGGAAGCCATTACGGAAATTGAAAGCTGGTCTCTGACATGGGGGTTTAGATTGTCGGTGGAAAAAACTGAAACTTTATTTTTTACGAGGAAAAGGATAGGTGAGGAGGTTAGGTTAAAACTTTATGGACAAGAACTAAAGAAAGTGAAGACATTTACATTTCTGGGAATATGGTTGGACGAGAGAGTCACATGGAGTACTCACATTGATAAAGTAGTAGATAAATGTAAAAGGGTTTTAAATGTTATGAGGTGCTTGGCAGGCACTAAGTGGGGGGCTGATAAAGCTGCTTTGAGGAACGTATACACAGCATTAATTAGATCAGCCATAGAATACGGACTAATAGTGTATGGTTCAGCTGCATACTCTTCTCTTCAAAAATTAGATAGAGTCCAGGCACAAGCACTAAGGATATGCTGTGGGGCAGTCAGATCTACACCAGTGTCGGCACTTCAGGTAGAGGTCGGAGAAATACCAATTTTTTTGAGGAGAAAACAGTTAATTGTTAATTACTGGGCAAATCTACAGGGCCATAAAGATACTCACCCTACTAAACAAACCATGGGCGTAGGAAGCATCCTGAATGTGGGGGGGACATTTTTAACGGGGGGTGTGGGGGCGAAATAAAAAATAGATTTCCTGTATTCTGGTGCATTTTAACAGGTGGTTTGATACTTTTATGTGGCTATACTAGCATGAGGAAAATGATGGGTACAGTTTGTAATTTCATCCAGTAGTAAAGAAAGGAAACATATTTGATTATTAATTCAGAGCCGTCTTTGAATTAATAAAAAGCAGTTTAAATGCCCATTTTTTGTACATTTATATACAACAATAATTATTTGTGAGTGCATTGAGAGATATTGTTGTGGAGAGTCATTTATATATAAATCGCAAAATACATTTGTGAATCCTTCTGTGAGCATTTATTAATATTGAGACTGATCTGACTCCATACGGATGTTAAGTTCACCTAGGAATGGTATCATTGACTTAAATGTTCAAATAAATGTTGCTCTTCTGTCTATATTGGTCATATGATGCCCCTTGACTGAAATGTTTCCTGTTCAATATCCCCACTGATTTCCTTAAAATCCTGGGATGAGAGTCCACATCACAATTTACTCTCAACTGTCATTTCCCTTTCATCACTCACCTCAGCAATGGACCTCTCTCCACTGTCCCTGTATTCTGCCTCTGACTCACTCTCAAGTGCCTAGATGTCAAGAGAGGTGGTGAAGTGATAATTATTTATTGAGCAGTATACTCTTTCACATTGAATCATAACAAGTCATACTGAATGTAAATACAACTGACTCTAAAGTAAGTCCCAGTCTGTGACATTGGACATTTTGAAGACTCAAAGTCCCAAGCAGTAGGTAGAATATTAGCTAGTCTATGTAATGTGCACAGAAAATAAATAGTTAACTGAATACTGGGATGGAAATAGCCTATAAGCACTCAGTAAAACATAAACACACACAAAAAGCTTCTGAATGATAAGAAGTATAATTAAAACATAATGCACATTACCATTTTGAGAGAGAGTACCTAAGTTAAAGAACTCAGAAAATAATCTCTTATCGAACTGAGGCTCCAGTAAAACACACTGACTGCGTCTCTACATGGACATCAGTAAGCCGTTTATGAGTATTATCCTGGTTATGATCATATTGGGGATATGGTGTTTACATGAGCACAGAGAGATCGGGTTATTCATGTTCCCTGTTTACATGATAAATACTAGTAACCTGGCATTTCGATGCCTTTTCTCATCTAAACTATTCAGTATTTGTATCTCTCTATCATGACATAAAGACGAAACTCCTCTCCAGAAGTGAGACGCTGCCATGTTAACTGATTAACTGCTACCAGCTGATGGCTTACTTTCCTCTTCTTTGAAAAAAATGTTCTTATGTCCATGTTGTCTGGGGGAGAAAACATATCAAACCAAGAGATCGTCAGCTTTGATTTTCGCTGTATTAACCATTTCCTGAACATTTGGTGTGTGTGCCTTACCTCCGCTACCGGCATCGCTTCATACAACAGATCTGAGCTGTCCAACTATGACAACACTCCCTGAACATGCGCGCGCTATGTGAGAATCTGCCTTGGTACAAAGTAGCAGTGAAAACATGGTACGGAGTTTCATTGATTTGGGCATTCTCTCAATAAGCAAGTGGAATGGATTTCATTTGATAGTGAAGCACTGACACAGCGCTCTACAAAGTGCGGCGAGTGGATAGACCGATCCACGGACTTTGCGCATAGTAAAAGTGGGGGGGTCTAAACTAATCATTTGAAAAAGTGGGGGGGACTTGTCCCACCCTCATATAATGGCTGCGACGCCCATGAAACAAACTGTAAAAACAAGTTGGGAAAGTAACAAAATTAAAAAAGAAAGTTTTTGTGTTTGTGTTTCGGAATTATGTAAGGAATTCAAAGTTAAAGAATGGAATATTAGTCCTACGGTGTTGTTATCAGCTGTTCCACCATGGTTGCTACCTCAACCTATAGAAAATGTATCTTTATTGAAACGGTTACATTCAATGAAAAACAAAATTAATGTACAGGCTTATGTGAATACTGTTCTACATGAACAATATGGGCAGTTTATACAAATATTTACTGATGGATCCAAAAATCCAGAAAATGGTCAAACTAGTTGTGCATTTTATGTTCCCGAATTAAAAGTAAAAGTGGGAAAGCGGACGAGTGATCATATCGCAGTATATACAGTAGAGATGATGGCTATCTCACTAGCACTTCAGTGGGTAGAGGAAATACAGCCAATGCGAGTGGTCATTTGCTCTGACTCCAGTGCAGCTCTGGAGAGTATAAACAACTTCTCTTCAGAATGTCGTCAGGATATTTTACATGAAATTTTACACATCATGTTTAGGTTAGTTCATCTGGGAATTGTTGTTCAATGTGTGTGGGTTCCAGCGCATGTGGGTATTAGAGGGAATGAGGTAGTGGATCAACTGGCAAAATGTGGTTGATTGATATTATGGTACCCATCAGTAGAGCAGAAGTCAAATCTGTTACAAAAGTTGTTATCAAGCAACAATGGCAAAAACTATGGGAGAGTAACACCAAAGGAAGACATTTATACCAGATACAAAGGGAAGTAGGAACGGGAAGCACTTGGGGGAGTAGTAGAAGAGAACAGAGCATTAACAGCAGGATAAAAGTGGGTCACTCTGGATTAAACTCATCACTGCAACTGATTGGAAAACATCCAAATGGCAATTGTGATGGTTGCCAACAACCAGAGACAATACATCATGTATTTTTTAGCTGCCCGGATTATAACAGACAAAGACTCATTCTGAAAACTGCACTGGAACAACTCAACATCAAGGACATGGATTTCAAGTCAATATATGAAAGTAAATCAAGAAATGAAGCAAACAAGTTGATCTACAAATTCCTCAAAAGCACTGGTCTGAGGACAAGGATTTAGTATAAACATTTAATAAATCAACAGTAGGTGGCGATATATGCTCCAAGTGGAAGCGATTCGCCATTTAAGAAGAAGAAGAAGAAGAAGAAGAAGAAGAAGAAGAAGAAGAAGAATAAGAAGAATAAGAATACAGTTAGTAGAGAGGCGGAACGTTTGTGTTCGCTACAATGGTTCTGGGGTACCGCTTAGAGGGACGGACGTTTCCGGTGTTTCCTCAGAAGCGATCTGGAAGGAAACACATGACACCGTGGACTCATTGGTCCTGTTTCGCCGGCTTAATACAGGTTAGTAAACTGTGCACACATCATAATGAATGCCCCATAAGGTTTGCCTATATAATGTGACGGTCCGCTAACAGTTTAAAGTGTTTGTCGTACTGTTTACGTGTTTAAAGGAGTGAAATAGTGTGTGTATCAGCATAGCTCCCCCGGTGCGGCGCCATTTTGGGGACAACGTGGTCTGCCCATGGATGTATAATAAGAGGGTCTGCCGCGTTAATAATACAAGTGTGACATTATTTCTGAAGGCTCCCGCACACAGAATATTTCCAGTACAGATATAGTTATTGTGAGTTTGGAATAAATATGCACTTTATGCAAATGATAAGTTAGTTACTGTTAGTAAAAACAGTAAGGTTAATACTGGGATGTTTCTTACACTAAGACTGAAATACTGAGTGTTAACATAATTATTATTCTCCAGTTTATGCATTTTAGTAACATGCAATTAATGGCAGAAGTTTAATTGTCACATGACAGTTTCAATGGGTCATGATATGTTACTTTTGACTTGCAGTATATAGAAGAGTAGTATTTAATACAGGTTTAATACTGTTGAAAAATGTATTTGAGGTACAAGAGATGTTTGCTGAATTTGAAATACAATTGAAATGTTTGTTTATGAAATGCATATTAGAGCGAGTTAATATGTTTAAATGATTTTGTTGTGTAATAAAACAACCAGAGAAGTGATCCGGAAGGAAACATAACACGCTGTGTCCTCATTACTCCTGTTTCACCTGCTTAATACAGGTATCATCACTGCTCAGGAAGTGAAACTCAGACACTCGCTGCCACTGAGAGGTGAAATGGCGCAGAAAAGAGTTCAGCTGGACCGGGAAACCTTCTCGTGTTCGATCTGTCTGGATCTACTGAAGGATCCGGTGACGACTTCCTGTGGACACAGCTACTGCATGAAGTGTATTAAAGGCTTCTGGGATCGAGGGGATGAGAAGAAGATCCACAGCTGCCCTCAGTGTAGGCAGAGCTTCAAACCGAGGCCTGTCCTGCTGAAAAACACCATGTTAGCAGCTTTAGTGGAGGAGCTGAAGAAGACTGGACTCCAAGCTGCTCCTGCTGATCACTGCTATGCTGGAGCTGAAGATGTGGCCTGTGATGTCTGCAATGGGAGGAAACTGAGAGCCTGTAAGTCCTGCCTCGTGTGTCTTGTATCTTATTGTGACCAACACCTCCAGCCTCATTATGAATTGCCTGCCTTTAAAAAGCACAAGCTGGTGGAGCCCTCCAAGAAGCTCCAGGAGAACATCTGCTCTCGTCACGACGAGGTGATGAAGATGTTCTGCCGCACTGATCAGCAGTGTATCTGTTATCTCTGCTCTGTGGACGAACACAAAGGCCACGACACAGTGTCAGCTGCAGCAGAAAGGACTGAGAGGCAGAGAGAGCTGGAGGGGAGTCGACAAAACATCCAGCAGAGAATCCAGGACAGAGAGAAGGAGGTGAAGCGGCTTCAGAAGGAGGTGGAGGCCGTCAATGGCTCTGCTGATAAAGCAGTGGAGGACAGTGAGAAGACGTTCACTGAGCTGATCCGTCTCATGGAGAAAAGAAGCTCTGATGTGAAGCAGCAGGTCAGATCCCAGCAGAAGAGAGAAGTGAGTCGAGTCAAAGAGCTTCAGGAGAAGCTGGAGCAGGAGATGGCTGAGCTGAAGAGGAGAGACGCTGAGCTGAAGCTGCTGTCTCACACGGAGGATCACAACCAGTTTCTGCACAGCTACCCCTCACTGTCAGCCCTCAGTGAACCTACACACTCATCCAGCATCAACATCCGTCCTCTGAGCTACTTTGAGGACGTGACGGCGGCCCTGTCAGCAGTCAGAGACAAACTACAGGACGTCCTGAGAGAGGAATGGACAAACGTCTCACCGACTGAAGTGGATGTTTTACTGTCAGCAGCAGAGCCCACCACCAGAGCTGGGTTCTTAAAATATTCACAGGAAATCACACTGGATCCAAACACAGCACACACAAAGCTGTTATTATCTGAGGGGAGCAGAAAAGCAACACGCATGGGACAACAACAGTCTTCTAGTTACCCAGACAGATTCACTGTATGGCCTCAGGTCCTGAGTAGAGAGAGTCTGACTGGACGTTGTTACTGGGAGGTGAAGTGGAGAGGGGGGGGAGAAGTTTATGTAGCAGTCGCATACAAGAATATCAGCAGAGCAGGGAGTGGGAATGGATGTAGATTTGGATACAATGACAAATCTTGGTCGTTAGAGTGTTTCCAAAGCAGTTATTCATTTCGTCACAACAATATCATCACTCCCCTCTCAGGTCCTCGGTCCTCCAGAGTAGGAGTGTACCTGGATCACAGAGCAGGTATTCTGTCCTTCTACAGCATCTCTGAAACCATGACTCTCCTCCACAGAGTCCAGACCACATTCACTCAGCCGCTACATGCTGGAGTTTGGCTTGGTTATCCTTATGGAACCACAGCTGAGTTTTGTAAACTGAAATAGCCTGAAGTCATTTGAGGAACTCTTCTACTTCTTAAACTCATTGTGTGTCCATCATTGTTGCTGAGAGCTGATTGTTCATGTCTTCACTGCACAGAGATCAGCTGTCAATCAAACATTATGGGATGTGCTTTAACATCTTCTCATGAGTTGTTCTGTAGATGTTGGAGTTTCTTTAGGCGGCGCTCCTTCCTGTGTCTGTTTAGCCATGGAGGCTGTCACTGCTCAGGAGGATTTCTGTTAACCTCAACTCATATTTCTCTGCATGAAAATGTAAACTTTGCTCTAAATATGTGTTGAATATCGATATTGATGTATTTGTATGTTGTTGTTTCTCTTGTAAAGCATGAGAGAGAGAAAGCACCAGAGCTTCTTTCATTGTAGATTTAAGCAATAGCTCACGACAGGCCGTGGTATATGCTCATTATATCACAGCTAAGGGGCGTGGTTCGGCCCGACGCGAAGCGGACAACCCCCTCAGCTTTTATAAAACGGTTACCAAGTGTGGCAATATGAAAGAAAAATACACACTCTAATCTATATAGTTTTTATTAGTAAATAATGATGTTCAAAATAAAATAGTCCCTCTGTTGACTAACACTAACAACAGCTAGCGAACATATTAGACGGAGAGCGTTGATCCATTATTTGGCTATTTATTTACATTAATGTGTATGTTGCCGTTTATTGTGCACCCACTGAAAAACTGTCCAGCATCAGTAGAATGGCTTACGTGGTTACTTGTATAGGCTGAGGTTGTTCTAGGCTGTTGCTTTGCGTGGCGAGAATTTTGCTCCACTTTCTCCGGTCCCCGAGATTCGGCTTCCAGTAGCTCTGGAGAGAGCTTTCGCACCTGTGGCCACTAACGGTCATAATTTCTCTGCTTTGTTTCAAGACCCGCATCAGAAAGCTTTTGAATGGTGATACTTTTCCAGTTGGTCTACCTGCTCTTCACGTAGCTCTACATGTCGTCGTTTAGGTGCTTTTTGTTCTGGAGATAGGCACTCCTCAATCCACTCCTCCATAGTAAATATATATATATATATATATATATATATATATAGATATATATATATAGATATATATAGTATATATATATATATATTATATATACTATAAGTATATATATATATATATATTATATATATATATATAGATATATATATATATATATATATATATATATATATATATATATATATATATATATATATTACAAAACCTGTCTCTAAAGTGTTTTGCTAAAAACACCAAACAGATCCTGAATTAAAGCATGTCATAAACTCCTCTGTTTCAGCCCTTTTCCAAAAATTCTGTGTCTGTAGTTAAATGCTGATGAGCTGCTGCTGGCCACGCCCATTTAGGGAGGTGTTTCTGGCTCCGCCCCCCATCCGAGCAGATCCAAGGTAAAGGTGTACACTGCAGGGCAGAAGCGTTTCACAATGTCCACCGGCAGAAACTCAGCAGTGCTGGATTTGCGCAGCCGAAAACAGTCTCAGAAATCTCACATAAAGCATAATTATTTAAACTCACACTCAAAGAGCAAAACCTCAGCTCAAATCTCCAGGGGCCTCATTTATAAAGGGATATACGCTCAAAAAATGGCGTACGCCAGTTTCTACGCAATGTTTGCGATTTATAAAATACTAACTTGACGGGAAAATGTGCTGTCCTCCACGCAAACTCTAACCCATGCGTACGCACTAAGCACACAAACGGGAGAGACGAGAAACTGCGACACCGTTGGCAGAAGGAAGAATGGAGAGAAATATGTGGAAATAATACCATAAATAAAATGTTACCTCATTTATCAAATATGAAGAATTCATTTTCAAACATTGATTAAAGCCAATCTTTAAATGATTAAACAAACGCCTGTTTGAGACTCCTGAGTGCACACAAAAACATAACTTGGAGAAATAAATAAATACGGATATGCTATTTAAAACCACCTCGAATATGTTGTGTTAATGTTATGAAATGTTTTCTCATAAATGATGCGGTAAGCAGGGGGACAGAATTACGTCTAAACTGACGCCGTTTTGCATTTCTATAGGTTGTAGATACGAGCATGGTTTTATATACTATCACGTTTAATCGTGTTTTATGCCGTTTGCCAAGACTTGATAAGTAGCTCGTAAAACACAGGAGGTATGGAAACTAAGAACACCATATGTGGTAAATTGTACAGCTAATATAACACAATCCATTAGTTGTATTTCCTTTAACTGGTGGATTATGGATATATAGTTGCTGATCGACAGCTGGAACACAAACCACCAAATACAACAAAAATAATTCAGATCCAGTCGTCATGACTCCACTCCGGAGGGATTCCCCGATCATTTCTTACAGTTTCTCATCAAGGGGGTGTCTCCTGTCCCCGGGACAAACACACTGCCTGAGGAAGGTTATGTGTATTTTTTTTTGTCATTAACTTTTTTCGGACCACTTATTTATTTATTTTGGTGACGATCCGACCTCCATGCTGCTACTCTGGTTCAAACTGCATCCACCAAACAATATGATTTATCTCGACCTCCCCACAATAACCTAAATCTGACACGGGTTGCGGTCGAATAGTCCATTTAGCTTAGGAACCTTCCTAACGGAGTGAAATTACCCGGAAGTCCCTCAGTGGCAGCCATGATAAGTGCCGTTCGAATTCTCTAAATTAAAAGGAAAGGAGGTTTCAAACTTCCTTTATAACCTCCTTTAGCCTAGGAACCACTGGACCTCCCTAACCGAAAGGAGAGGAGAAAATGCTGCCCCACAATGCCTTGCGGCCGCAGCATTTGCCGTCACACAACAGTCGGCCGTTCACGGAAACAACCGATTATGAACGAGAAATGATATCGGTATAAAGTTACGGTTGCTTATTAAGCAATTTAAAACGTATGTGGTAAGTTGCCAAAGTGCTTTGTTTTGAACGTTCATCAGTATTATAACCAAAAGAGAAATATGAACGTTAGTTTTTACTGAAATGATCAAATAAAGTCAACATTTCACAGTCTTTACTGAGCTGTGTGGGGTTTGTTCAACTTTTAAAAGATGTTTGAATGGTGATATACACAGTGATAGATGTTAAGGACTAACGTTTATAATAAATACATTTGTATTGATTTTAAGATCTTTTCATACAATCATACGTATTGGGATCATTTGTATTAATGTGGACCGGAGGGAGAGGGTGACGAGCATAAGTTTCACTTTCCTTTTTTATTTCAATTCCAACTTTGGTCATGAAGAATATGTTTCTCTGTTGTCCCTGTTCATAAAGCATAAAACAACAG